GAATGGTATGCGGAAGTCGGAGCGAAATTTAGGCAGTGCGCAGCTGATTTACCACCCACACCCGGACTGCTGAAGACAGCGGATCGTCCGGATCGCGGTTGTCGTCGATTTCGGCAATCAAGCTGGCAAGCGATCGTTGCTCGGCCGTGACATGCTCATCGACGACTTCCCAGAACTCAGGTTCCAGGGCAAGACTGGTGCGATGACCATGGAGGGAGAGGGATCGTTTGACAAACGACATGCGGATCAATCCGTGTCTTTGCCACCGGACGGATCCGATTTGGTGAGGCGGTGACCTTCCACCTGGTTTTCCAGATCCTCTCGTCGCCGGCGCGCTTGATCCCGCTCGGCCTTGGTGCGACCGAACTTGCGCCGGTTGTCTTCGGCCTGTTGTTCCTTGTCGGTCCGCTTTCTTTGCTTGCGGACCTGGCGCAGATTGACGATTTCCGCGCTCATGCAAACCTCCGGCAATCAGGTTTTCTTGCGGAACGCATCCAGGGAGACGACTTCGCCGCCGCTATCACCGGCAGGCGTTTTATCAGCCGGCTTTTCGCTTTCAGCCGCATCCACCGCCGCAACTTCAGCTCCGCCTGTCACAGCCGGGGCATCGCTCTCGCCGTCCGTCTGTTCCTTTTCGGCCTTTGCCAGTTCCTCTACGGCTTCAAGCAATTCTTCCGGCAGTTCTTCGGCGGTTTTGCCCGGATCGAATTCCAGGGCGAACTGGACGGATGGATCGAAAAAGCCCTTGATCGCCGAGAAGGGCACCAGCAGTTTTTCCGGAACGCCACCAAAGGAAAGCCCGACCTCGAACGCATGCTCGCCGATTGCCAGATCCCAGAACTGATGTTGCAGCACAATGGTCATTTCCTGAGGATAGCGTTCCTTCAGCCTCTGGGAAATGCGCACGCCCGGCGCGTTGGTATCGAAGGCGATGTAAAAATGATGGTCACCGGGCAGGCCCGTTCGTCCGACCTCGGCAAGAATCTTCTTGACCGCGCCCCTGAGCGCGTCCTGGATAAGGATATCGTATCGCAGAAGGTCTTCAGACATCAGTTCTCGTCGAATCTCGTTCTAATTAGCTCTATCCGGCCCACATTGACCGTCCGGCGTCAAAAAGAAAAGCCAATTTTCCAAGTGATACCAGAATAATGAGTCTTTCCTGAGAAGGCTAAGCCAATGCATGCACAACGTCCAGAAAAGGGCTGTTTTGGGGAACCCAAAGGGAGGGGATTAGGTGAAGGCTTCTGTTGCCAGGTGCCTTCGAACCCCGCCTGAAGGTGCTAACCTACGGGACTTAGTGGACTACCGGCGCTGCATTACGCGGCGACAGCGTTGTCCATAGCATAGTTGTCGTTTGCAACTATTAGAACAGCCCGATAACGGTGGTACAATGCCGAGCAAAAGCACAGTCTTTACGCCCTCGTCGATCCTATTTCGCCCCCGCCGAAACCCGTGAGATTTCCAATAGATAGCCTCACGGGCTTGGGTGGAGGCGCCGGGTACCGCCCCCGGGTCCGATAGGTTTATTGCACTGACAGTTTATTGCCGTAGCTGGCGAACCAGCAGCCTTGATATAAGCGCTTTGTTACTGAAAGAAAAGGGGATGCAGTGATTTGCCGGGAAAACATGGAAGGAGACTCACACCTCTCGAAGACAGGTCGACTGCAGGGTTGACGGCAGATCGCTATCGAGTTAGTTAGAGAGACTAACTAAATGGATTGAGCTGTGGATCTTACCGAATTTTTCGAACTGGTGCATCGGCACGCGCACCGCCGATGGAATGCGCTCGCAGCGGATGCGGGTGTGTCTTACAGCGAATTTGAGTATCTGAGCGCGATCCAGCAGCAGGAAAACCGGCAAACGGACAAGAACGATCATGGTCAGCATCTGCAGGATGTGGTTGAGGCGATGCGCGTTCGCAAAGCTTCTGCAAGCGTCATGGTCGTCAAGCTGGAGGAGCGTGGCTGGGTGCGCCGGGTACCTTGCCAATATGACGCCCGGGCACAGCACATATTGCTGACCGCAGAAGGGAAGTCCCGGCTGGATTGCGGCAAAGGCATTTACGCATCTGCTGCGCGCCAGATAATGCTGGAACTGAGTAGCGAGGAACGGGCCGGACTGTTGCAAGTCTGGAATTTGCCGGATGCGTCATAGTTCATTCTGAAATTTGATCAAATAAGTAAGTTAAACTAACTAACTTTATGGAGCGCAATGAGGGGAATTATGAAATGCGAGTTGATGTTGATGGGCACGGCAATCCACCTTCTTGTATGGGACAAGCAGCCCGAATAGGGAACCTGGTTCAAGACTCCCCTGGAGAATTTGCCCAGGCCGCTGCAGTCGCTCTGCGACCAGTGGTATTGCCCCTGCTGTGCCGGTTTCTGGATTGCGCTGGTACTGCATGCCTTGACCGGATTCTGGACCCTTCCGATCTGGAAAACCTTCCTTCCTTCGTTGGTGTCCTCCGGGAGCCCGTCGCGTGGACGCTTGATGCGCTGGCTACCGCAACCCTGATTTATGCTGCAATTCTGAAAATCAAGGCGATCGGCTTGCCTGCCATGAAAGCACACATGATGAAGGCAGAATTCCTGAACTCGGCCTTTCAGGCCCAATTGCAAGACAAGTAGCGAGAAATGACCGATGGCCTATGATTACGACGCACTCTACCGCACAACTCCCGATGCGCTCGGCGCTCCTACCTGGGCATTTTGCGAGTTCTTCGAGACTTATTCAAAGCCGAGTGCACGAATACTGGATGTCGGGTGCGGACAAGGCAGGGACGCCTTGTTTATCGCAAGGCTGGGGCATCTTGTAACCGGCGTGGATTTGTCGTCCTCCGGGATCGCCTGTCTGTTGAAACAGGCTGCGCGAGAAGGGCTGTCGGTCGAAGGAGATGTCGCCGACATTGCCAGCTATGACCCTTGCGGCATGTTTGACGTGATTGTCTTCGACCGTACCCTGCATATGCTGGAGCGGACACCACGGATGAAGGTCCTTGCGAGGCTCATGGAGAAACTTGCCAAAGATGGATTTCTTTTGATCGCGGACGAACCTTCAAATCTTCCGGATTTTCATGATGTTTTGAATGTCACCTCCGGAGCATGGTCCATTGTCAGGGAGGAAAGAGGCCTCTTGTTTTTGAGACGTGAACCGGAGGCACAATGGCTCGCCGGGCAATGGCCCCAGATTTCCCGATAAGAGCAAACAGATCGGAACGCGCATCGCATCCAATTGCAAACCCGGTCGGCGAGCGGAATGAGACAACCTGCGGAATTGCCAATCAGGAACCCTGATCGATCTGGGGAAAGTGTGATCGGGGGGCTGCGTTTTTCAGAAAATCTGCGAAGTTATCATCACGCTCCCACCGTGTTTCAAAGGCCGTTGCCGTGCAGCAATATCTCGACCTCCTGGCAAAAATCCTCGACGAAGGTACCGACAGGGGCGACCGAACGGGAACGGGTACTCGCTCAATCTTCGGTCACCAGATGCGCTTCGATCTTGCCGAAGGTTTTCCGGTGGTGACGACCAAGAAGCTGCATCTGAGATCGATCATTCATGAGCTGCTCTGGTTCCTGGCCGGCGACACGAATATCCGCTATCTCAATGAAAACGGCGTGAAAATCTGGGATGACTGGGCGGATGAAAATGGGGAACTCGGCCCGGTTTACGGCTACCAGTGGCGGTCCTGGCCGGCACCGGACGGCAGGTCCATCGACCAGATCGAAAAGCTGCTGGAAATGATCCGCACCAGTCCGGAAAGCCGCCGGCTGATCGTTTCCGCCTGGAACCCGGCTCTGGTCGAGGAAATGGCTTTGCCACCGTGTCATTCCCTATTCCAGTTCTACGTAGCGAACGGCAAGCTGTCGTGCCAGCTCTACCAGCGATCGGCTGATGTCTTCCTTGGTGTGCCTTTCAACATCGCGTCCTATGCGTTGCTGACCCTGATGGTGGCACAGGTCACCGGATTGAAACCTGGCGATTTCGTGCACACGCTCGGCGATGCACATCTTTATTCCAACCACTTCGATCAGGCGCGCGAACAGCTTACCCGGACCCCGCGTCCGTTGCCGCAAATGAAGATCAATCCGGACGTCACCGAGCTCTTTGCCTTCAAATACGAAGATTTCGAGCTGACAGGCTACGATCCGCACCCGCATATCGCGGCACCTATTGCGGTATAGGGTTCCATTTGTTTCTGCTTGTCATTGGTCACATTGAAAAGTTCAGGATCCGCATTCAGCGGGAAAATGAACCAGAAGCTCTTGTCGAAGGATTGCGTTGAAAGCGCTTGTTGCCTCAAGTGACGCGTAGTGACCGCAATTCGGAATTACGTGACAGCTTCCATCTCTTGCTGTTTGTGCCTGTTTGAAAGTCAATTCCGGACCGGGGGCGATATCGTGGCTGCCTGAGATGAAAACTGTCCGGTGAGGGAAGCTTTCCAGAAGATCGCGTCTGCTAGGGCGCATGTGGAACGCAACAGTGCCGTCAACGAGTTCGCGAGCGGATCTTTTGTCGAAACTTTCTTTCGCGGCCCTCACAACATCATCATTTGAGGAAACTGAAAAAAGCGGTTTCCAAAAGGCATTCCACGCTGCATTCGGCCCTCGCGTTCGGATGAGATTGACTGCTTGCTCCAAAAAAACTGGATTTGGGTTTTTGTGTGCTTTTGTTCCAGTCAGCACGATGGCTCGGACACGATGTGGTGCCAACTTCGCAATTTCAAGGGCGCACGACCCGCCGATTGAACAACCTATGACAATAATTTCTTCTTCGTGTACTTCTTTAAGCGCGGCGGTTGCCCAGTTCTCGATCGAGTTGCCATGTCGGTACAGGGTCGGCGCATAGCAGGCAGTGGGAAACAGGTCCAACTGATCTAGCCACATTGTGCCGTCCAGCGGCAAGGCGTGCAAAAACAAGATCGCAGGCGGTGTTTCGGCGTTCAAACGCGCTCCCTTATTCTCTCAAGGTGAGTTGGCCATCACCCTAAAGGGATTCGCGTTCTAGCTCACCTCGAACCAAGTCATCATGCCCGATGCGGCATGGCCGAGCATGTGGCAGTGGATGAGCCATTTGCCGGGATTGTCTGCAACGAAGGCGATCTTTACGGTTTCACGCGGATCCGTCGTAAATGTGTCGCGCCAATCCTGGTGCTCCAATGTCTCGCCATCGCGCGCCAGAACACGGAAATGGTGACCGTGAACATGCATTGCATGGGCGAAGCTGGTGTCGTTCCGGCTTTCCAGAACGATGGTTTCACCGCGCCTGGCACTGAACATGGGTTGGTCCTGCATGCCTGGAATGCCGTTGAACGTCCAGAACTGGCCATCCTGCATCATGCTGCGGACATCTTCCTCCGACCGGTCCTCCAGCAACGAGCGCAATCCGCCCATGGCACCGCCCTGCATCACGAGCGGCAGTTCCAGCGCGTCCTCCAGGTCCGGTTCCGGCAATCGGTTGACAGGAGGAAGCGTCAGGGGAAGATCGTTTCCCTGGGCCTCCGTCACCTGGAAATTGGCGAAAGTGAATGGCTGCCCGGTCATCATTTCGAGGGGCAGCGTTCCGGTTTTCGTCGGGCGCATGACGAGATCCATGCGCTGTGCGGGGGCAAGCCGCACGACACCTGAGACGTCGCGCGGTTCAGAGAAGACCTGACCGTCCAGCGCAATGACGCGTGCACCGAAGCGCTCCGGGGCAAGATCAAGAATACGGGACGCCGAGGCGTTTATCAGACGGACCCGGTGCCAGACACCTGTCCTCATCGCAATGTCGGGCAAGGACACCCCGTTGACCGTCAACCAGTTGCCGAGCCTGCCTGCGTGAAAAAAGTCATGCATTGCGCCGAAGCTTGCAGTGTCGAGGACACCATCTTCATCCAGACGCCAGTCGCTCAGCACCAAAGTGATGTCCGTTTCCGGGGGAAAAAGCTGTTTGTGTTCGTCGACGATCAGCGGTCCGGAAAGACCGCGGGGCACCTGGTTCCAGCTCATGTTGTGGGCGTGGTACCAGTAGGTTCCGGCGTCCGGTACGACGAAATCGTAGTCGAAACTGTCACCGGGTTTGACAGCAGGTTGCGTCAATCCGGCAACGCCGTCCATGGTGTTGTCGATACGGATGCCGTGCCAGTGAATGGACGTGGGTTCGTCGAGTTCATTGATGAACCGGACCCTGACCTTCTCGCCCTGCTTGACCCGGATTTCCGGTCCCGGGAGCCGGTCATTGTAGAGCCAGAGATCGGATGCACCACCCTTGTCACCGTAAAGATGCGCTTTTCCATTGGCTGCCTTGAGTTCCAGGAAACCCTCGGAAGATTTTGCAAGGGCGAGTTGCGGCACAGCTGCTGTCGCGCAGCTCGCAAGCGTGGTTTTCAGGAACGACCTGCGATCCAATTTCATTTCCGGCTCACATTCATCGAGAGAGGCATCTCGATGTTATGGTGTTTCCAGCTACTGGAAGGTCAAGGTCTGGTCAGGCTTCGGCTCTGATGCAATTGGAATGACTTGGTCCGATGCTGGGTCCGACGCACAAATGTTCGTATTTGGTTGTAACCTTGTGTCAGATTGCTCAAACATTGCCGATCGGGACGATCACCATGACCTCTTCAGACTACTCCGTTTCCCTGTCTCCCCATGCCCTTGCTGCCGAAAACAGCGGCTTCGATCCGATGATCGGACGCAAGCTGGTTGCCGGCGTGGAATCCGGCCTGCTGCCGCATCTGCATGTTGTCCTGGCGGAACGGAGTGGCGAAACCATTCTTGAAAGTTACAGCAAGGGACTGGACGAAAGCTGGGGGCAGCCGTTGGGTGAAGTCACGTTCGACGCCGGAACGCTGCATGACCTTCGTTCGGTCACCAAGAGCGTTGTCAGTCTCCTTTACGGTATCGCCCTGGAACGGGGGATGGTCCCGACGCTCGATACGCCAATTCTGTCGGTTTTCGACGACTACAAGGATCTTTCGTCCGATCCGGCGCGGATGAAGCTTACGGTCGAACATGCTCTGACGATGAGTCTCGGACTGGAATGGGATGAATCGCGACCTTACACGGATCCTGAAAACAGTGAGATCGCGATGGAACTCGCTCCGGATCGCTACCGGTTTATCCTGGAGCGGACGATCGTTGAAGAGCCGGGAACAAAATGGACCTATAGCGGTGGTGCAACGGCGCTCATTGGAGGGATACTCGAGCGCGGTACCGGCAAAAGCCTGCCAGAGTTTGCAAGCGAGGTTCTGTTTGGCCCGCTTGGCATTGAGACATACGAGTGGACAGCCGGCAAAGACGGCACGCATTCGCCGGCGTCGGGTCTGAGGTTGACCGCGCCGGATCTTTTGAAGATCGGGCGCCTTGTATTGAACAACGGTCTGAGGGACGGGAAACGGATTGTTCCGGAAGCCTGGATACGGGCCTCCCAGATGCCTCATATTCAGACCCCGGAAATGCTGAGCTACGGTTATTTCTGGTTTCTCGGCAAGGCACCGGTCAAGGCACTCGGTGGACCGACCGACTGGGCCGCCGGTTTCGGCAATGGTGGCCAGCGTCTCTGGATCTGTCCTAAAGCCGATGTCGCTGCGGTGATCTACTCCGGCAACTATAACAACTGGAATGCCTGGATACCGCCGACACGCATCTGGATCGAGATCATTCTCGCCAATCTGGAAAAGGCCTGACCGGTCTGCCAGAGGCGATCATGCTGGCTGCATACTTTTACATCGCATACACAGGTTTCAGAATATCCGCCAGCCACTGCCAGAACGGCAATGTGGGGTTCCATGAACTCACTATGAATGTCGGGGCTGCATCGCCGATCAGCTGATCAGTGTCTTCAATCGATTTCCAGACGGCGAGACCCTTGTGGCGTGCGAGGTCGGCAAACTGGTTATCCTTCGGAAACCCTCGCGGCACTTTTGCCAGGTCGGGTTCTGACCGATCAAATCCCTCACTGTTCAATTGGTCGAGCAGCCTCTCGATTTCTTCACCTTTCCCGGTTTCGAGCGCCTGAAGGTATGAGCCGAGAACCGGTTTCGAAAAAGCCATGCAGCCGGTTCCGAACCGTATGTGGTCGGGTTCAACGGAAAGAAAAAAGCTCGGCGGCTGCGCATCACGGCCTTCAAAGGCTCCGCCATTCGGCCAGAAGGCCATACGGATATGGGTGTTATAGGGTGTCTTGTCCTTGGAAAACCTGAGGTCGCGATTGATCCGGAACTGTTTCGAGACGATCTCGTGGCCGGTGAGTTCAGCGAGTTTCCGCGCGACTTCGCTGCGAAAAAAGTCCGAGGGTTTCTTGACGAAGCGCTGGTAGTCGGCCTTGTGGGCGTCGAACCAGTCTTTTGCATTGTTGTCCTTGAGTGACTTGAGAAACGCGAAGGTTTCCGGTGCAAATCCCGCCGCGCTCATGGTCTTGCCTTTCCGGATTTCGATTTTCTCGGCTTTGCTTGCTTGGGTGGCAGTGCACAAACATAGTTTCGTGCCAGGTCAACCCAGCTCTTCAGGTCCTTGTCACTTTCAATGCCTTCAGGCTCGACCCGGATGAAACCCGGCATCGGGCGTCCTGCCGGCCGGCAGGGAGTAGCATGAGGCTTTGAAAGAGCTTCGGCTTCCTGATCCTTGCCGACACGTGCCATCAACCCGCGCTTCGACGCGCAAACAAGCATGTTGCCATTGACCATGAAGCAGGTCGAACCGAACATCTTCTTCTGCTCGACATTGTCGTCCGGGATCAATTCCCTGGTGCGCTCGATCAGCACGGTCTCCATCAGGTCTGACATATCCGGTATTCCCTTTTCCTGTTGGCGTTCTCATCAAGGACGTGGGATGTCGGTCAAATCCGACAATCTGCATAGAGAAATTGGTCGAAATGTACTCAGGCGACGGAAAAACATGCTAGGAGGCGAGCCGGAAAATGCAAACCGGATTCGGAGAAGCCCTTGCCGGAACTTGTTCTGATAGCCGCGGTTGCCCGCAACGGGATTATCGGGGCGGATAATGACATGCCGTGGACGCTATCGTCCGACCTGAAGCACTTCAAGCGAATGACGCTCGGCAAGCCGATGATTATGGGCCGCAAAACCTTTCTGTCCTTCGGTGGACGGCCTTTGCCCGGACGCCCGCACATCGTGATCACCCGTGACCGGAACTACGCACCGGAAGGTGCCGAAACGGCGACGTCATTGGAAGGTGCTTTGAAGCGGGCAGGTGAACTCGCCGGACAAATGGATGTCGACGAGATATTTTGTATCGGTGGTGGCCAGATTTATACCCAGGTGATCGAACAGGCCGACCGTCTCGAAATCACCGAGGTTGATGCGCGGCCTGACGGCGATACCCGATTTCCGGAGATACATCCTGCGGTCTGGCGCGAGACCCGAAGGATTGAAGGCAAGCGATCAGAAAAAGACAGTGCAGATTTTGCCTTTGTGACCTATCGCCGCAAGGTCTGACGCAAATCGGGTAAATCCGACATGGAATTTGACGAATCTTTTGACGCCCGATGGGCCAGGTTGCAGGAATTGGGTCCGATCGATGTTCATGATGTCCTGAAACTGCGTCAGGATGTTTTTCTTCTGGAACAGACATCGCTCTACCAGGATATCGACGGCAAGGACCCGGATGCGTTGCATTTGCTTGTGCGCACCAGGACGGCGGGCGATCTTGTGGGAATCATACGCCTGTTCGCCGAACCGGATGCCGGAACAGCCAGGATCGGCCGGGTCGTGATTGCGTCCGGGCAGCGGGGCAGTGGGCTTGGCCGGAAAATGATGCTGGCAGGGATTGAAAAGGCTGGGGAAATTGCACCGGGTTGTCCGATTGACCTGTCGGCGCAGGCGCACCTGGAAGAGTTTTACAATGCTCTGGGATTTGAAACGGTATCGGACAAATATATCAAGGACGGCATACTGCATATCGACATGATCTGCCAAGGCAAACGGCCCGGTTAACCTTTTGTCTGAAACTTTCGGCGCGGTCGACTTGACAGCGCCACAATCGACACCCACCTGCGGCACGGGAAAACGTACGGGTTTTGCGTAGGGTGTCGGCCGGGCTTTTGATTGAAAGCGTCCGGTAACCTCCCTATAACCAACGGTGAGTCAGAACGGGCACATGCCCATGTCCGGCAGGTGCTGCCGGAGTTCACAGAAGGAAGTCTTGATGCCTTGGAGCAATCAGTCAGGTGGCGGTGGCCCCTGGAAGGGTGGCGGAAACAATGGCGGCCCATGGGGCGGCGGTGGTGGAAACAATGGCGGCCCATGGGGCGGCGGTCCGAACCGGGGTGGCGGCGGCGGCGGTGGCAATCCGCCCGACCTGGAAGAGCTGTTGAAGAAAACTCAGGACCGCATGAAGTCTGTATTACCTGGCGGCGGCGGCGGTGGTGGTCTCGGCCTTGCCGGCATCCTGATCGTCATTGGTATTGGCGTCATCGGCTGGCTGTTTACGGGCATATATACGGTTGATTCCGGCGAACGCGGTGTTGAGCTCGTTCTTGGTAAGGTCGTTGGACTGACAGCGCCGGGTTTCAATTACAACCTGCCTTATCCGATTGGTGAGGTCTACAAGCCCGCAGTCGAGTTGCAGCGTGAAACGACGGTTGGCGTGGACGAGACCTATTCCACGTCCGGTGCGGTCCGCGCGAGGGACATTCCCGAAGAAAGCCTGATGCTTACCGGTGACGAAAACATCGTCGATGTCGGGTTCAAGGTTCTCTGGAGGATCAAGAACACCACCGAAGGCATCACGGACTATCTCTTTAACATTCAAGAGCCTGCTTCGACAGTGAAAGCCGTGGCGGAAAGCGCAATGCGCGAGGTTGTCGGCGGATCCAATATTGATTCGATCCTGACCGAAAACCGCGTTTCCATTCAGAATGATGTGGCGGCCTTGATGCAGACAACGCTCGATGCCTACAATGCCGGTGTCGAAATTTCAGAAGTTCAGATGCAGCGCGTTGACCCGCCGGCCCAGGTCATCGAGGCTTTCCGGGATGTTCAGGCGGCCCGAGCCGACCAGGAGCGTATCCGCAACGAAGCTGAAGCCTACGCCAACCGGATTGTTCCCGAAGCGCGCGGTCAGGCAGCACGCGTTCTGGAAGATGCAAACGCATACAAGGATCAGACCATCGCGGAAGCGACGGGTCAGTCACAGCGTTTCACCAAGGTTTACGAGCAGTATGAGAAAGCACCCGACGTGACCCGGGAACGTCTATATCTCGAGACGCTTGAAAAAGTGCTTGGTTCCAATAACAAGATCATAATCGACAGCGAAACTTCAGGCTCCGGCGTATTGCCGTTCCTGCCGCTGAACGATTTGAACGGACGCGGCTCGACTCCGTCCGCACGCACGGGAGGTAACTGATCATGCGTAGCGGTATTCTAGCAATTCTACTCGTTGTCGTCGCAGTGGTCGGATATCTGTCCGTTTACGTTGTCAATCCGACGCAGCAGGCACTGGTCCTGCAGTTCGGCAAGATCATCGAGCAACCGAAAACCGAATCCGGCCTCTACTTCAAGATCCCGTTTGTCCAGAACGTTGTTTACCTGGACAAACGTATCCTGAACCTGAACATGCCGCCTCTCGAGCCGATTTCCTCGGACAAGAAACGACTGATCGTGGATGCGTTTGCGCGTTACAAGATCTCGGATCCGGTTCTGTTCTACCAGCGCGTCCAGAATGTGTTGACGGCCAACCGGCGCCTGTCAACATTGTTGCAATCCTCACTGCGGTCAGAAGTCGGCCGGACCAGTTTCGTTGCGCTCGTGCGTGACGACCGGTCGGGCGTGATGGAAAACATCCGCCGTGACGTCAGCGCGAATGCAGAGGAACTTGGCATCGAGGTGATCGATGTGAAGATCCGCCGGGCCGACTTGCCCGACGCGAACTCCCAGGCCATTTACGCGCGCATGCAGACAGAACGCCAGCGTGAGGCGACAGAGATCCGGGCGCAGGGTGAAGAACAATCCCGCAGGATCAAGTCGCGCGCCGATCGTGACGCAACTGTTCTGGTTGCCGAAGCGAAACGGGATTCGGAAATCATCCGCGGTGATGGCGACGCTGAACGGAACAAGATCTTCGCCGAGGCATTTGGTGCCGATCCGGACTTCTTCGCGTTCTATCGTTCCATGCAGGCCTATGAAGCCGGCTTGCAGTCGGGCGATACCAGCCTCGTCCTGTCGCCGGATTCCAGCTTCTTCCGGTTCTTCAAGGACCCGGCCGGCGCTGCGCTTCCAGGTTCGGGCGATGATGACGGTACCGGTGTGTCGACACGCTCGCCGTCGCTTGCCGCGCAATGAACGACTTTGTGACCGCGCTTGGGCTGGTCCTGGTGATTGAAGGTATTCTTTACGCAGTTCTGCCGGGTGGTATGAAAACCATCATGCGGGGTGCGCTGGAAACATCGAACCAGACTTTGCGCATGACAGGTCTGGCGATCGCCGCGATGGGCCTGATTATTGTGTGGATCATACGCGGATAACGAAAAGTTTCAGGGCGGGAGAGGCAAAAATCTCCCGCCCGTTCTATATTTTGACTACATGTCCTAAGACACTATCGGCTGATACTGCCTTTCAGACAGCCGAACCGGCAGGGATGAGGAGAAAGCCCTATGGCTCCAAATATTGTTCGCCGTCGCATGACCCGGATCGCGTTTGCCGCGGCGGGTCTCATGCTGGGCGGAATG